CCCCATCCACCCCGTCCCCTCTCCTCTGCTCTGTCCGATCGGCTGACAGCGCTCTGCTACTCGCCCCTAACAACCCCAGAGGGTGTCCCACCCCCGCCCCACTCTGCAGGCACGGCACGTCGCCCGGTCGGGTGCGAATGAGTGGCCTGCCCGTACCCCTCCCCCTCCCCCTATCGGCCCATTACACCCCCTCTCATCACGCTACCCGCCCACTCTCACAGCCACAGCTCATGCAGCTCATGCTTTTCGTACATTAGACTCGAGCGCCGGTTTCGGATCCGAAATACTGACACGCCGTTCGTCCTCTTTGTTCCAGGCGATCAAGACCTCAACGCGGCCAACGGCCCGTCGTCGTGGTCCGGGTCGGAGCGCGACCTGGCCGTGCCCCCCAAGCGGCGACGCCAGGACGACTGGGGCCCGCCGGGCCAGACCGTCGCCCTGTCCAGGTCGTCATCGCTCATCGCCTTCGAGAGCCTGGAGCGCCGGCTGTCCGAGGAGGAGGAGGCCCTGGGCGCCGGCGGCCTCGGCGCCTTCCGCACCACCGCCACGCTGCGCCCCTTCGACTGGGCCGACTCCAGGTCGCCGTCGGCCTCCGCCAGCGACTCGTCGGACGACGAGAGCGAGGACAGCGACGACTCGCTGATGCAGAGCTTCAACTCGTCCCGCGGCAGCTTCAGGTGAGGCCCTCGCACGACGTACTGTACCCTCCCGCTCGTCGAGGTCGCGGAGCCCCCGCCACACCCCGCCGCCAGCGCGGCCCCGACCACCTGTTGCCGGCGCGGTCCTCGGCCCGCTGGAGAGGAGAGGGTGACCCTGGCCAACGACCCCGCCGGGGCTACTAATAGGGGCGGAGGTCACGAGGGCGCCTGCTGGCCTCTGGGGCACCCTCTGACCTCCGCAAGCGGCAGCCCCCAGCTGCAGCGGCCAGAGCGCAGGGAGAACAGCTGTCTCCCCGGACCTCGCTGCTTTTTCTGCGTGAAACTCTCGCCGCTGTCGCCGCCGCTGTCCGCGCTGTCCTTGTGAGCACCGCGACCCGCCGCGCCGCAGCCCGATGATCTCACCCGCGGAGCCTTCGCGCGGAGCTGCGCGGAGCTGCGCGGAGCTGCGCGGAGCCGACAGGCGGCCCCGCCCGCGACGCTCACACTCTAACGTGCACCCGCGGCCCGCCGCGCTGGACCGAGTACTCCTGCACTGCGATAAAAGCCACAGGATGAAAAGAACGGGCCCCTAAAGCGAAATGAACAATACAGCGCATTCAAATGATTCGAAATTCCTCAAGTGCCGCGGTGCTGAAGTGTGAGCGCGCGCCGGCCTCGCGGCCACAAGTGAGCTCACTGGCGCGCGCGCTTCTCCTTGTTGCTCCTCCTGTACTTCTTAATGGCGCCCATCAAGCTGTGCGGGCCGGGCGCGCGAGGTCAGCGCCGCGAGGCGGGAGCACGTTAAGGGGGGTCAGGGCGTGCCCGGGCGTTCCGGCGGGGTATTACATTTCTCACGCCCTACGTAAGACGACGCGGGTAATTTACGGTAATTTATCATCGCCAAGAGTGTAGGAGGGATGGGGGGGGGGGGTAGTAGTGGCGTGAGCACGCCGAACAACGTGCCCTTTGTGGGGCTCTGCAACGTGGGTCATACATGTTCACTAAACAATAATAATGCTACATTTAAAAATGGTTTTTGTCCTTGACACAGATTAGGGAGAACATCGTAGGGCCCCGTTCGTTAATATCAAGCACGAAGCAGCTGAGCGAAGTGCGTCAAAACTGACGATATAGCTAGGACTCTATCATGAATGGAAGTGTAGGTAGGCATTAGGCAACAACTCCCCTCCATTCACTGTATATATTAGAGCAGGTGGGGAAGTCTTCAGCAGGTACAGTGTAAGCAAAGGCGCCCAACTCCCCTATATACTTTAACATTTGTGCTCAGAAATAAATTAAGGTTTTAATATCCCCGTATGTTTATAAAACAGACGAGTCGACGGCGGCCAGAGTGGAAAAAAAAAACAGAAATAGAGAAATAAACAGCATTCTTGGTTCAAATAAGTAAAAAAAACTTAAATTATGAAAGCAAACGAAATAAATAACCAAAAATAAAAAAAATGCAAAACAACAAAAAGGTTTTGGATCCACTCTAGGGCCTCTCTCCCGAGTGGGTGCGCATGTGCCTCTTGAGGTTACCCCTCCGCGCGAACGCTGCCCCGCAGGTGGCGCAGCTGTAGGGCCTCTCCCCCGAGTGGTTGCGCATGTGCTTCAGGAGATTGTAGCTTAGTGTGAACGCTGCCCCGCAGGTGGCGCAGCTGTAGGGCTTCTCCCCCGTGTGGGTGCGCATGTGCTTCTGGAGGGTACTGCTCTCCCTGAACGCTGCCCCGCAGGTGGTGCAGCTGTAAGGCTTCTCCCCCGAGTGGATGCGCGAGTGTCTCTGGAGGGCATTGCTCTTCGCGAACGCAGCCCCGCAGGTGGTGCAGCTGTGGGGCTTCTCCCCCGAGTGGATACGCATATGGGTCTGGAGGGCACCGCTCTGCGTGAAAGCAGCCCCGCAGGTGGTGCAGCTGTAGGGCTTCTCCCCCGAGTGGATGCGCATGTGGG